AGTCTGTATTCCTGTGTTACACAGTGAGGTTTTCAAACTAGATATGGTAAGGAAACTTTTTCATTATGTGTTCTTTTTTTTCTTTTTTACTGCATTGGTGAAACAGCAAATACTCTTTGAATTGGTGTACCTGTAAAGAGCAGTTTAGCCTGTTCTTAAAATTAATTACTAATCATAAGGCTTACAGCAGCCAACAATGTGCAATTATTTCAGTATTTTTTAAATTATAAAGAGCATGTGCCAACATATTTTCAAAGCTATGCATGTGTAATATACAGTCACAGCATTTCATTCTGACCTAGTTGTGTCTTCTATTCTTTCAAATAAATACAAAACAAAATTACCTTCTTCGACAAGTCGGTTCTGTAACAGATGAATCCCATTGTTGAATAAAGTCACCGTAAGTTAAATTAGTGTGACACTCTAAAGACCTGTGTCTCAAGCCTTTGATAGCATTTTTTCTTCTGTTTATAGTCCCTGATTTTGTGGGGAAGAAGCTCCTTCCCATTTCTTTCCTTTGCTTTAACCAAGAAACACTCAAAGCTACTTTTCTCCGAACTCTTTCTCATTTTTTGTTAAAAGAAAAATAACGGAGGATCCTCCCTTTCTGCCTTCCTTTTTCTGAAAGCATTTGTAGCATCTGGGCTGCGCTCCTCTAGAATTTCTTCTTTCTTCCACACCACTCAATGTGCCAAAAAAAAAAAAAAAAAATCTGTTGAGAAATTTGCTGTCCTGGATTAAAATGCCACTGAAGAAGATGCAGTTTGGCCTGACAGCATCAGGTCGTGCTGTAGGGGAGGCTTCTGAGAAAGCACTGTTGTTAGAGTTGGAATCGGAAGAACTGAATCCCAAAAGGATGTGTGGACCAAGTTTCCTACTGTGAGGCGGATTTCTTTTAAGCAATGTTTGTTCAAACCTGCCTGAGTACAAACAATGGCATATGCCATTATGAAGCTGAGCATAATTTATCTAATAATCTACACATTGTGGTAGCACGTGATAAAAACAAACCAACCTACCTGGAAGTAGGTATGCAGCCACTGAAGAAATTCAGGGAAGCATTTGAATGGTTTATTTTTAATGACAAGATGATATTAATTCTCTATGATTCTGTAGTATATCTTTTTATATGCCAAATAGTTTGTCTTGTTAATTTCTAAGAAAATTATACATACGTGATAGTGCTCTGAGTGCCTGTTACACTTTCCCGCTCTCTCTGTCATAGCTTTTAAACTTTTCAACTAATGTTCCTAAATTTCAAATTCTGGCAGGCTTCTTGGAAGTGGGTAGCAGCATCTGAAGGAAAAAGTGGCAGTATGAGCTTACTATAATTTAAAACAAAGCAAAACCCCAAAACCAATCCCTGAATATTTATGAAGATGTGTATAGTTTTCTCCTGCAAAAAAAAGAAAACCTTGAGTATGCATTCTCAGTTGTTTGGAATGACAGTTTCAAGTTGTGGAAGTACTTGTTGCATTACAGTGAATTTAAGCAGGCATACCTAGTTTATAGTGATTTATCAAATTACATTTTTGTTCATAAAATTATTATTTGTAACATAGCTGGAAAACAATCATTGTACTCTCCTTTCCGCTGGCAAGGGGTCCAAAGGTCTCGTACGGTTAAAATGCTTGTTGGTGTTCACATGTGATGGCCTGTTTGCATCCAGTTGCTGATAGAACTGCTTGTCTGAAATAGACATTTGCTTTTCACAGGATCCTAAATATTGTTTATACTGTAATAAAACTAAATGGAAATAGTTCAATAAAGATTGAAGAGTGTATGTTGTCTTTTCTAAGTAGCCCTAGGCTGGTTTTGAGTTGAAATCATGTGCAGTGTTACCATTAAAAATAGCTGTTAGCACAGTAGTTTCTTACCAAACATTTAATTTGTGTGTGGGTTTGTTACATAAACAAGGAGCAGTTAAATGCTAAATATTAAGTTTTATTGTAGAAATCAACGGGATGTGTGTGACTTGTGGGGTGGTTGTTTTTTGCGATCTCTTTGTGCTTCAAAGTGTAGTTCATTAATTATCACGGTTTCTTATTTGACTGATTAATGTGGTTTAGCCTTGATTCCTAAGAAAACGAGGTATATACAACTCCACCTGCCAATCCTGTTCTGCTCTCTTCTTCCCCTTTTCCTGTGTGTTGCACTACAAACTTTCTTAATTGCTGATCCATTCCAGCTGAATTTGATGGAGATGGAGGTATCAAAGTTGATTCAAATTCTATGAATTATGAAAAATCTGGTTAGAGTATATACCTGCCTGGCAGGGAAGAGACTTAAATTAGTGCCCAGCTGAGAGCAAAGCTGCAGTGTGAGTTCAGTGATTATTCCATGCTGGCTGCCTGGCTTGGAGCCAGCTGTTCTGCTTGCTCAGTCTTTCTCAGCTGGCAGTTAAAGGGAGCAGAAGAGGCGTTGGGGTCAAGGTATTCGAAAACCCGGAAAGAGGAACAGGGCCATTGAAGTGCAGGGCGCAGGTAAATTGTTGCTTGCTGCTGCTTCCCCTGCAACTCTCCTTCTTTTTTGTGGTTAAATAATGGAGATTGCTTTAAGTGAAGAGCCTCTGGATTTTAGCAAGCATGCAATATAATAAGACTCTTTGGGGTTTTTTTTTGTTTACAAATAATTAGAAACTTTATGGCAGCTGAGAGAACTAAGCAATGTGTAATGTAGTTCTTTTGTTTAGAAATACTGGGAGGCAGTAGATTCTTAAAATTAAGGTAGTTAGTGAAAACTGTTTCACTACGTACACACACACATATATGTGCTAACTCAACATGTTTGCAGGATGGTCATTCCACATGTGATTAAGCTGCTAGAATTTTTTCAGCATATAATCAGTGAAATGATCAAATATTAATAAAAATAATTTTAGTAAGTGTATTTTGCATTCTGAATGAACGTTGTATGCTGGGTGTGCTTACTGTATGACTTCAATTGAAAATTATCACCCTCAGTAATTGTTTGTATTATGTGCAGTGTTATTTCTCCAGGTGGAAAATAGCAGCTCTGCTGTAAATGCAGGCTCCCTTAGGCTATGCAGGGTGTCTGTGCTGGTCTACGTGCTATTCAACTGCTTTCTTAAAGCATAAAGGATACCTAGTGAGTTTGGTAGCACTAATCACAGGATCAGAATTAAGAATTGTCCTTTAAATCTTTTAAGTTTAGACTATTTTTGAAATACTTATATTAAAAGCTTTTTTGCTCTAGCAGGATTTAGATTTGTGTGATTCCCATCTGGAATCTAGTAATTAACAGTATGGAACTCCACTCATAACACTATATACTATTTAAGCAAGTTGTTAACACTTTTTCTGATGGTGTCTATTCTCCAGCAGTTAACACTAGCACCAGCAAGCTGTAGGATGCAAGAACCTCCCATTTTACCACTTTTGAAATACCTGTGAAATTATCACTTTCACAGCAATTGTCACAGTATACAGACTTCTGTTTCAGCTTGCAGCCTCTAAAAAGAAAGTTGTGATATTCAGATCCAGTCTCCTTTACAAACTGTTTTGCATGGCATGCAGAGAATAAGATACGCGCTTGTTTAGCCTGCTTATGCTGTTGTCGGTTGGTAAGTTCATACATACAGCCTTTTGTGCTCGAGATACAGATAGCAGCAGCTTAAGCTCACGTGTTCCTTTCCTTGTTGGAAATAATGGTGTGTGCAGAAAATGACCTCAGAGATGGCACATGGTAGCTGGTCTGCTTTGGGATTCAGATTTGGTGGCCAACCAAAGATGTGCAGCGGTGGGCTGGGAGATTTGCATGTGCCAGTTAGCCGAGCCCTTGGCCAGAGCAGCCGGGCCTCGCAAGAGATGGGAGCCCAAAGAGATAGGTCAGACGTGTAGGTGGATGAATGGCTTCGCAGTAGGTTATGACACAGAGGAGGGAACATGGCATCAGAGGGTTGCTGTAAGTAGTCTGTAAGTTGTATCCAGCAGGTAATTTGGAGCATTCAATAACCCATTCATTTTTCTGGTGGAATCTGCTGTAAAGGACTTACGGATAGATATCTAGTTTAGTTGGTAAGGGATGTTGAGCTGAAAATGTGTTTTAAAAATGAATAGGAAACAAGGATGTCTGGGTATTTCTAAAGTTATGTCTTGTTTTAATATAATAGCACACCATTTCTGTCTGTTAACATTGAAGCTATGTAATGTATGTTGTCCGCTTCCTCCTCCCTGTCCCCGACAACCAAGTACTGCATTGAATTAAATTTGAAGAAGAATAGGAATACCTGCTTGCTTTGGTGCTGGGAGGATCAGGCTGGCACAGGTGTGAGGGTTGGGGTGTGGTAAGAGGGAAGGTTGGGCTGTAAATGAAGGTTGTCTTGCCCTCTTTCAGAAGTATTTTCTCTTCTAGTGAAGTGCTTTGTAGAATTACAGTCCTTGTCTGTAGACTTGATCTGACCAAGTGCAAGCAAAAGACATGTAGAAGCAGGTTTCTCTAAATTTGAAATTCACCTTTTAATTCAGTAATACATTTTCAGCCTTTTCCCTATGCCTGCGGACTGTGGTTTTCTTTTTTTTTTTTCCTCCCAAGTAATACTGGACATGGGATGATAAACTTCTTACCCAGGATTTACGACATCATAATAGGCAGATATTTTCAGATATAAGAGGTACAGCAAACTTTGTGATTAGAACATCATTCACTCTCAGTTAATTGGCAAATTGAAGGGACAAAATCAAAAGCCCTCTTTTGCCTGGGACATGAATATTTACAGATCATGTAATAGTAGAGACCAAGCCCTTTGTAAACCATTTTCTGTACTTTGGGTAAACGGAAAGGAACTAGAAAGAAAACAAGTATGGTGGTTTTGTTTGCAGTATAATGTATTTACATGTCAAAAACCATGTGGTTAAATTTTTGATTTCCTGAGGATTCAAATGTTTACATTGTCTCTTCATCCAGATTCAAGATCCAGCCCATATTATGGCTGGCAGTGGGTCTAAATCAGGACCATCGAGTGGGTTTTCCATGAAATCGCAGCTTCAAATCACTGGTAAGCCTTTGAAAGGATATATATTTTCTGGTGAGAAATGTAAAAGTGTTTTTCTGACAGTTAAATGGAATTTACTAATATGTTGCATTTCAGGAAGTTTTGAGTTGTACAAAACCTAAGAGAAGTTGCACAATACAACTGATGGTGTTATGCCATCATTACGTGGCAGAAATAGAGCTATTTCATTCAGGATTTTGTCTGAACCGCATTTTGAGATGATACATTTTTGTGTTAAAAAAAAGGAAGGAATAATGTTAAGAAAATTGTACAGAACAATCGTCTTTGAAATGTGGTAATGTGATGTGCTACTGCTTTCAGGTACTGACACTTCCCATAATACCAAATCTAACACTTTCTTCTAATGGTCTTTTTGCATCTCAAGCTAAGGGAACCTGAACTGCTGTTCATTAAATTTTACTTGTTACATTAAATTTCTCCCTTGTTACATGTTTTTATGGCCACCATTGTAAAGGAACTTTAATAAAAGTGTTGGTGAGTGTATTATTGTAATTGAGCACCTGTAGATTGCACAGGAATGCGTTTACGTGACATGTTTTGCTTTTTTGTAGTGCCCCACCAACAAAGCAGCTGTTGAAACTCAGTTGCCAAATTTCCCTCACTTTTGCCCTCTGACAGAATTTACTGAAGCATAAAAGCTGAAGCCTGGGAAGGAGGGATCTGTGGCTGTGTGCAGGCCTATGTTTAGAAGCATCAAGGGTAAATTTTGCACCCTCAGTGTTGAAGGTCTGTGGGTGTATGCAGAAGTTTCATAAAGCTGATCTTGTGGGGACGAAGAGAATTGTCAAAAATAGATGGGAAAGCTTTAGACGAGAAAGGAGATTGGAACTGAACAAGTTATATGGTCTCTAGCTGTCACACTGGTCACAAGCTTGTTTTTTCTCAGTGGGCCATGAGACTTTAAGAGAAATCTTGTCCCTGCAGGTTGATACTGGAGAGAAAAATGGAAGAGGTTTGGAAGGAGGTACATCCTCCACATGGCTGTGGAGAGCAGGTTGAAGTGGTGATTGCTGTCTAAGGCTTGCTCTGTTAGAGGCCTGTGACTCATATAAAGTGAAGAAATGTCTCTGTGTTTACAATTGAGCCCATTAAGATGTTTGAACAGTTCTTAATTTCTGTAGTTTAGCCACAGTCTGCAAGCAAGCTCTTTCCTCTGGAAGCAGGCGTTACCTTTCTGCAGACATTTCTGTAAACAGCACCACCCCCTGCCCTGCCCTCCCCTCCCCTCCCGGTTCTGCTGTTTTCATTAGTTTTAAATGAACTTTCAGGTTGGGTAAGTAAGAACCTTGAAAGTAGGTATAAGCCTGCTGATTTGTGCTGCCTCAAAGCAGGTCTTGATGCCTTTGAGATAGTGATGGTGAGGCGTGAAGTGCTGTAGTACAGAAGTACTGGAGATGGGAGGGGAAGGGAAGGGGGGCTGTTTGTGAACATTAGTGTTAGCCAACTGTCATTAGTTTCTGTAAGATGTCTGTAATATAGAGAGAAACAATTTCCTTTGGGAGAAGTTCAGAGCAGTTTATCCTAAGCTACTTCTCTAAGTCTCTAAAGGAGCACAGGCTATAAAGGGAACCTAGGTAGATTAGCCATATGGGCTTGAATTAGTCATCTTTTTTAAGCATGTAGTGCAGCTGAGGTGGGTGACAACAACACAGGAGACCAGTTATTTGTTAGAACAGAGTGGAGTGCACTGGCCAATTGGAAATTATAATATCTTTGTCTTAAGTACAGTTTTGTGAGTTCAGTGCTGCCAGGGAATCCAAGAACATTCGTAATCTAAGAATCAAATGCCAGGGGTAGACTCGTGCACGTGCATGCTGCTTTGGTTAAATGGAGGCAACGTAGCCATGGTGTTTGGAAAGGCAGGAGCATTGCAGTGAATGATGTTGAATGTTTAAAAAACAAAACAAAACACAACTCCCCCCCCAAGCCAGCAAACAAAAAACTAAAACACCTCCCCCCCCCAATCTCTAGAGCTGCAAGTCGTGTCCAGATTTTGTCATTTCTAGAACAGTAGGTAGTTATTGGAACTCAGAGTTTGCCGTTAGTTAGCTTTTCTCTAAGTTTGCTTTGATATAGACAATTTAACACTAATTTCTTTTTCCTAAAGATGTCCTTTTCACCAGAAGTAGTGGCAGTTTCCCATGATTCCTTCATGAGGGTGACAGATCAGGTTTTGAGCTTTTTAACAAGCAAGTGTGATGAACTCCAGGAATTCTCTTGGCTGGTGATAGGCAGGAGGAGGTTGTAGAGGGTGTTTTCTACTTTCACCACCTAAGCGCTTTTGTGGATCTTATACTGATTATTGTTAATTATAGTGTCTGACGTTATAGAAGTACTGTTGCATGTTTCAGGCATTTGTGTCAGCTGTAGCGTTGTAGAAAATGATCTGGAATGCAAAAGCATTTTTGTCCATCTAATGTATTTTTTGTCTTGAGCGTTATTGTCAGGCATCAGTGACCTGATACTTGAATACTGAAGCACACAACTGAAAAATATTATTTGCAATTGAAATCTTATTGAGTAAATTACTATTTTTCTCTTTCTTAACAGTTATTTCAGCAAAATTAAAAGAAAAAAATAAATGGTTTGGACCTAGCCCTTACGTGGAAGTCTCAGTGGACGGGCAGTCAAAGAAGACAGAAAAATGCAACAATACAAATAGTCCGAAGTGGAAACAGCACCTTACAGTGTAGGTTTGATGGTTTTGTTTTCCTTTTTTTTTTGAGCTAAATTAATGCACTTGACAGTGGACTTAAGGGTTGCATTTTTATTTTAAACAAGGCGTTCAATGTTAGATGATATTAAGATATTTGTGTGGTTTTTGAAGCAAACATACTACAGTTTGGAATATCTATTCACAAAGTATTGCATTAGGACCCGTGGAAAGGACCCAGTGCTTATTAAGGAATGTGTTCTGTATTCGTGTATGTAGCATATCAAAAGAGCTTTCATTCTTTGTGTAGTAAGGAAAGTAAGGTAATTTGATATTAAAACTGACAGTCCCATGCACGTTTTTGTTCTCACGTTTAAGGCTACGGGTGTTTCAGAAACACCATGGCTGACAAGTGTAGCTGTTCTTTGTGGACCGCTTTACTGTGGACCACGCCATAGCACAGGCAGGTAGCTCTGTCTTGCACATGTCTAAATTCAATCACAAGTACAAAGCTCCTGATTAATTTGTGCCTTCAGAGTACAAAACTAACGTTAGATTCAACGTTGTTGATGCTTCATTGACCCAGTAATAGTGTTGTGAGATGAAAGGAAGTATAAAGCACTGAAAAAAAAACTATCTGAAGCTTCTATAAAATTTAGTTTTCTCTTAAGAATGTGTCACGTGAAACACTGGGATAAAGGTCAGTCTTGTGCTTGTGCATTTGTTTATGCTTAAATTCTAGATTATTATTTTTGAGGCACCTTGAGCATTCCATGAAAACCTGGTTTGTGCTTGTTCTTTTCTTGTAATTCAGATTATTATGAAGTTTTAGTTACTACTGTTTACCTTACTTTCCACTGCAAAGAAGTTTTTTAAGAAAACCTTGTGCTTTACATGCATATCAATGTGCAAGAGCAGAATTTTCTTTTAGCTTTTAAAGCCTGCCTTTTTTTTTTTTTTAATTGAAATGATTGTGGATTGCGCTGGGCAAGTCCACACAATAGTACATGGGCAATTTTTACTCTTGTTCCGTAAGCGCTGAACAGAACCACCCAATGCATATCAGCTTCATGGAGATTACACTAAAGCTACATGGAACTTAGAGGAGTAAGTTAATTGTTTTTTAGGAAATGTTTTGATGCAACCGCTTGCATTCAGATTCAGAATAAAAAGGAAAAAATGGGCTCTGCAAATGTGTATGGACCATGGGTTCCTGTTCTAGGAGGGAGTCTGTTAGGTGGAGCTGCATATTCTGAAGGGATTGTCTGACTATGAAACTCAATTTATAAACCATATGCAAGTGAAATTATCCAGTGAGAAAATAGTCATTTGTAATACCTGTTTCTCACAATTAAAATAATGTAAAAATACATATATGTTAGAATGTTCCTTACAGAAAACTTTGAAGTTTCTGTTAGGGATTTAAAAAAAAAAAGTATATGTCAGCAACTGATACTGACATCAATTTTCTTCTCTCTTGTAAGGCTTTGCATAGAATCGTAGAATGGTTTGGGTTGGAAGGGACCTCAAAGATCATATCACTCCAAGCCATTCTCAGTTGTACTATCGACTATTTGGTGATGCTCATCTTTCTACTCTTGTCAGAATACTTTTAAGAAGGAAAAAGAAAAATCTAGGGGTTTGGGTTTTTCTTATCACTGAGAGAGTTCTTTTATTTTCTAAGATTTGCCTGATCACATAAACTATCTCAGCTGTCATCATCTTGCTGCAAAGTGTTTGGTGAGATTAGCAGTTTTGAAATGAGATTGTTTTGGAGCTAGAGGGAGGAAGACTAAGTGTGGCTGAAAATATTTCTGTTTGCATGGGTTTCTTCTCCAGTAAGAGGCTTTCCCAGTACATAACTGCTGTCATAGATCTGGGAGTGGGGGGCTCTTACCGCATAGGTAATCCTTGATAAAGAGCTTTCAGGATTAGGGAGTGACTCTGCTGGTGGCTTTTCTAGGAGTAGAGATACACCTTCTCCTCCACAGGTTGAAAAATTCAAACTGTGTGTTTGGCAGAGGCTACAGCATTGTGATTTTATGACTTTACCAGCCCACAGGATTTTTCAGAGGGAACTTTGGCTCTTGTTTGGATTATGTAGAGGCCACTGTCTGTGCTGTTACTGCTCCCTGGAAGGCATCTTTCCCGGTTGTAGCACCATACTTTGAATGAAGTTCAGATTTTTGGGTCACTAAAACAAGTGAAAATTAAAGAAGAGCCTCTGGGAAGTGAAAGGCAGGTAGAAATAAATGGTTGAATTCTTTGAATTACTTGATTTAGAATGAAGAGAAACTATTGTGATAGTTGGGTCCATAAGAGACTTTCCTGGTAGTAAACGTAGAACCGATTCTTCAAGGACATAATCAAATTAGCACACTGTAGAAGTAGTACATCTTACTGCTGGAAATGGTGAGGGAAGTTTTTGAATTGATAAGCCATGGAAGATGTAGTGTGTTGTTCTGTTCTCGGTAAATGCACTGTGAAACCAGATGTATACTAGTAAAATGTTAAAGAATTTTGTATATATTCCTGCTACTTTGTCATAATATGATGTATGTGCCAGCTTATTAGGGGAACAGTCGTCTTCTAAAAATACTTGAAATGACTTTTAGTATTTTGAGTACTTCCCTTTTTATGGGATGTCCTAAAATTTTCCGCTAACCTCTTCAGAAAGCAAATTTGCTGTCTTCCCTCTCCATGTGAAAAATTCTCACATCAAGGTATGCAAATGCTGAACACTCATGAAATGTGAACCTGCAAGAATCAGTCTTTTTTTCTAATCCTGGTTACACTCAGATGCTAATTGTGAGCTGGTAGTTTTTTCTATAGATATTTCCCTTAAAATGGTAATAATAAAGAATTTACTCAGTCTGTGAACAGTCTTGCAACAATCTTGATTTACATGACATAAACGTGACTGCATGCTAGAATGTGATCATTACAAGTGGCTTGATGTTACCACTGTTATTTCTTTGTTTTTAAAAAAATTTAAGTGACAGTCAAAGGAGATTGCTTGGTTCACCCGCTTCCCCTGCCAACAAATCCCTTACATAGTGCTCAACTTTTTCTTTTCAGAATTGTCACTCCTGTAAGTAAATTAAACTTTCGAGTCTGGAGCCATCAAACGTTAAAATCTGATGTTCTTCTGGGAAGTGCAGCTCTGGATATTCGTGAGACTTTGAAATCAAACAGTATGAAACGTAAGTGTAAGATTATTAACAATACCTTGGATTGCTGCAGAATTTGACAGGAATTGTCTGTTATTGAGTGCTGTGTGTAACTCTGGCCCTTAAGAACTGCTTCTGTTACGCAGATTCCATTTATGACCTTCCTCCTACCTTTTCGGTGTAATCTTTATTCGTTACACACAGTCTGCTCAGGTGTCATTGAAAACATGGTATTTTCCACTTTGCTGATATATGCCAGGGCGAAAGCCTAATTAGAGATTGTTTCCTTCCATAGAGCTTAAAAATGAAAGTAGTAAGATAACCTCCCATTCTTTTCTGTACTTTTCCAGTTGAGCAGGTAGTGGTGACATTGCATCTTGTTGGTGACAGAGAACCAGCAGAAGTGGTAGGAGACTTGTCTGTCTGTCTAGATGGGATGCAGGTAGATCCTGAGCTCCTAACAAATGGTGATGCCTCAAGTACAAGAAGTAAGTAACTTTCAGTTCAAATGAGCCCTCTACCTATGTCTGGTATACAAAGCTTTTTTTATTTTCCTGGAAGCTTTAGCACAGTGTTTTAATAATCATAACAACAGCTGTTTCTGTAACTTTGTAGAGACCAAAACTCATACGCATTTTTATTTGAGGTGGAGTCATAGTCCGCAATGAAGATTTTTCAGCCTTACTATAACAGAAATAACATCAGCATCTTTATTTTCTGGACTTTGATAACTTCTATGTATCAATCCCATGATTGATAAATAAGCCTCTAGCTTCCCTGAATGTTTAATAAACATAAAATAATATTAGTTTGATCTTATCATAGTAATAAGTATTCTGCTCACTAGGAGACATGGATTTATATTAATTTTTCTTAAAATATCCCATTCAAATAGATGTTTTCTTAGATTTTGCTGCCTGTGGAGTGCTGCAGAGAGGAACCCACTATTCTGTTTAGTTGGTGTCTTCAGTCTCAGATAACTACTATGATTTTTAACTGAAAATCTTGAATACATGTAAAATATGTAATTACCCTAAAATAAAAAGTAAGGCAGGCAGTGGAACATCTTTGAGTGTATTGTACATTGCAAAGTAGAAATAGAGATAAGAGGTTATTTCTCCGGAAGGCAGCATTGGAGAGACTGTCTGCTGTAAAGTAAGGGGTTTTGATTCCCTTGCTGCAGGACAGGCAGTGGAGCATCTTTGAGTGTATTGTACATTGCAAAGTAGAAATAGAGATAAGAGGTTATTTCTCCGGAAGGCAGCATTGGAGAGACTGTCTGCTGTAGCAGCTAGCCAGGCAGTTAGTTGATGATTTTTAGGCTTCTGGGTGTTTTTTTTAAAGGACTGGAGGGATGCTTTGAGATTCCATCTAAGTATCCTAGGAAAACTGAATTAACACACTAGCTTTGTAACCACTATTTCTTAGAGCTTTTAGTCCATCTTTCTTTGTATCTTGTTAAAAGGACCAGTCACGATCTGATGGTGTGGGATTTTTTTGTAAATAAAAGCCAAATGCTGAGATTGTGTGGGGCTTGTAGATTGGGGCTGAGGTATGTTGATAGAAACACTTACTGTAAGTAACACATTTCCCTCTTCTGCAATACTTGGTTTCATCTGTGCTTTCTTCCATTTCCTGAAATTCACCTACTGAGAGAAAGGTCCTAGGAAGAAGAGAGAGGCACAGGATTGAGTACTATGTACAGTTTTGGGCTCAGCAGTGAAGGCAGATGTTGACATACCCAGCCAGAAGTTCAGGACTGGGTTCCCAGATAATCAGGGAACTGGAGCACATGAGGAAAGAGTTCAGTCTTAAAGTAGTTGTAACACATTCTTATCGTACAGGCTAAAGGTACTTACAGGCAAATACATTGTTTATTGAGTAGCTTTTTAAATTAAGATTTCTGTTTCTGGGATTAAAATTACTTCTGTGCACAGCCCAGTAAGAGCACATTATCATAAACCTTTACATGACTACATCCTTGTCTTTGGCTTAGATCTGTACATAGTTCCCACTGATTTCTTTGTTAATGACATTTGTTTAATTCTATGGAAATAAAGTATTTGCGCTGTCTACATGAATGAGCAGTTCTGTGCTGCATATTCGAGTATTACAAATGCTGGCACAAAAGGCAGATATTTCCAAGCTGGTTGAATAAGCTGCTGCAAAATGTTTGCAAATCTAGGCTAAGATGCTGTAATTCTGTTTGGAGTGCAGCCATGTTTTGTACCTGCTTGAGTGCCTTTATGCTAAATAATTTACAGAGAAAGGGAAGGGTTCAGGCTAGAGAGCCCCAGAAAACAAAGCCCTTGCGGCTGCTTGCTAGCCAACCAGAGCAAAGATTTTAGAAGTTGTTGCCTTTCCTGCTCTGCTTGTCATGATTGAAAAGGGAGAGAATATGAAAAGCCAGCTGCACATTAAGAATGGAGAATGCTGCTTCATACTGCTACAGAGACAGGAGACAACATTATAGAACTATGTGTGTTTGAGAATATTCATACAGTGAAATGATATCCTGTTATATCTTCCATAAGGTGAAAATACTTCCAGTGGCAGTGGTTTAAAAAAAAAGTATATGCACATACATATAGGCATGCCAAATGTATACAGCTTGAAATAAGACAGTAGATAAGCAGCATATAGTGCATCACCTCCACATGTGAAAGAAATGTGAGTATTAAAGACTGCTGCTTTTCTTGGAAATGTTTCAGAATGTTGTTTATACTTGATTATCTTTTTCTTTCTGGTATTTCAGGTCCTACACAGAATGATAGCTCCAAAGTAAAGAATGATACACGGTAAGACTTCTTTTCCTCAATTTTTTTTTAAACTGCCTTTTAGTGTTTGCAGTTTTGAAAGAGGAATTTTATGTTTTAGAAAAAAGACAATTAAAAAAATTCTGAGTATGCCCTGCAACAATCTCTGTTAAGATCTGAGCACATCCTAAACAAAAATACTGTACCGTTGTACGTTCACATATTAAATTGTTTTCCATATGAGCCCCATTTTCAACCTTTAGTTTGTCTCCATACCTGACTGATCTTTCGGTTTTGTCCCTTCGTGTTCCTCATCCTTCTCCCAGTGATTAACCAAACTGAAAAAAACCCAAACATATATATAAAAAAATCCTACTGGTGAGTAAATGGCTCTGGTTATTTTTGCACTGTGTTACTTTGTAGCATGGAGGTATCAGACTTATATTTAGCTTTGTTAAGAAGATACCAAAAGCTGTCTAGCAGTTGCAGTGCTTTAAGGTCGATATCGGATTATGTACCCTGCTGCTTGCTAGGATAAAAGTGTGACCATACTTGGTGGTGCCTTAACCTGCAGTGAGCTCCATGCCACTTTAATTGGTTCCCAGTACTACAGGTATTGTAAGGGTCTGTACAATGCACAGTGCTCTTGGATGGCATCTGGAGTAACTAAGTTAAATTTCACCGTTTTTTAATTAGAACATAACGCTCTTAGCTATGTTGTGAAGCCTTCCCATGAAAGTTAATTTTTGTTCTGTTTCCTTTTCACATTCAGAAGAATATTTTCATGCTTGGGTATTCAGAATGCCTGTGTGTGTAATAGTATAATAATAATAATAGCAGCACCTGATTTGGTTTTAGTACCAGCCAGTGGGAGTTCTGGTGTTCATTAAAGGTCCATTTTGAGGATCATGTAAATGGTCTGTAATACGTCTAGCAGTGGTTATCGTTACATGTATAATAAAGTTTTGATATGCATTGTTGTATCTTAAGCCAGCTGGTCAAATATGCTAAAGATAAAAGGTTACACTACTGACTTGAATGTTCAAACAGCAGCAGCATGCTTTCTGGGGCTGGGGAAAACCTAGGCTATAGCTCCGACAAACTTCAGATCACTCATTACACAGATTACGCGAACCACACCTGGTAGAGAGCAAAACTGTGTTTGACAACGATATAGAGGTCAAATGTACATCATTCTACTTGATCCTCTATGACTTGTGATTTACTTAGGCTTGCCTCCTGGTTTTATTTTGTCTGCATTGAAAGGAATATAATTTTAGAGGTACTGGCCTGAAACTAACCTATGGTTTTACTACTGATGGCCTATGTACTTGACCTGTCAATCTGCTAGAATTTTAGTTGACAATTGTTTCATTTTGCTTAACGTATTCTGAAAATAAAATGCTTTAGAAGCATATGTAGATACCTGTAACTCTGCTTAAGGAGCTACAAATATATCAGAATAACTGAACAGTACAGAATGGGTGAGTACTGCTATTTAGTTGCTTCATTCTTGGAAAGTTGAGAAGCTTATATTCATAGTTGTTGGTCAAAACTTTAATGCTTAGTCCTAAATTCTCCAGTCCTTTCCAGAATTGAGTTTAGGAAGAAAATTGGTATATGTGTAATTGAGTTTTCTAAGAATTTGAAGCATTCTGTGTGTGCTGAGCATATGCTAGCCCTGTGGAGCAAATGCACGCAGGCTGTTCTCAGATCTTAGCCTGCTTCCCATCTCGTTAGACACACGTGGGATTCATGGGCGGAAATAGCTGAGCAGCAGCATCCAGAGCCTGCGCCTAACGGCAGGTGTATTGTGTTGGGAAATGAAAGAGGAGAGTTCAGTAACAAATGTTATATATACATCTAGTTCACAACCTTTTCGTCAGTTGCGCTTTCATATACCTCAGGAGACAAACTCTTTGTATGTTTATACAGAGGTATAGGTTTTTATAATTAGCACGAAGGTAAGAATCTCACCTAGACAGAACTATTGTCTTCCATAATGTCACCTACACCCTGTTAGAACAGTTCTTTCTGTCTCTTCCTGCAAAAGGACTAACTCAAATGGCCTTGAAAGCTGTGAAGATGCTGCTCCCAGTGAAAACAAGACTGTTAATGGCAGTGATTCTCCATTACTCACAAATGGAAACTGCAAACCTTCTCGACCTCCCAGGCCTTCTAGACCACCTCCACCCACTCCCCGCAGACCCACGTCAGTACCTGGTGTGTATTCCGGGGCCAGGCACTCATTCCAAAGCTGCACGCTCTTTGAATGAACATAGCTGTTTATGATGCTGATTTTTAACTACATATTTTTTGTGGCAAATTCTTTGGCAGATAACTTCTGAAAGACTATTTTTTAGGTTGCATTCAGTACATGTTGTTTAACCATTATTCCAATTATTAGAAATTTCTTGCTTCCATGTCTGCTAAGTAACAGTGGCAGTGACACTGCACTAAGACATCCACTGAGTTTGAGGCTTGAGATGAAATCTACTGAAGGACTCTCAGAAGTGTCTCGAGTTGATAATATTGGGTTTTGAAATACTAGTTGATTGTTTCTACAATTCTAGTTAAATTCTGTGAAATAGGAGCGCTTAAATGATTCATTGCTCTTCTGCACTGAAATGGTTAGATTTTTTTAAAATAATTTTATCTGTTTATTTAAAAACTACAAAAGTTTAAGACAAGTATTCCTGAAAAGTTAGTTGATGTTTTTAGGTTAACTCCTTTACCTGCAGTCTGTTTCAGTAGTCTCATTATTACGATTGATAAATGCTGAGTCTGGATGAGAAACTGCGATACAGTAATAACTTTAAAAGATTAATCCAGTGTAGTTCAGTAATAAGGCCTGACTTGTATACAGCCTTTAATCCCACCCATCAAATGGCATTCAGAAAAAAAATTAAAATGTTTAAAGAATATATGTATTCACCTCCCATTCCGATTATTTCTTTCCATGCAATGTCAAATATCTTCTTAAAAATTCTAGGCTTAATACCTCTTAAATTATTATTCCAAATAATACATGGAAAATACTTAACTCATCAATGCAAGAAAGTGATTTTTTTTTTTAATAATCATTTAGTGTTTACAGAATGCAGACAACTTGCTTTGGTAAATATGATTTATTCTATCAGAAATATCAAAATTGTGCCAATGATGGCAGTTATTGGATTAAAGTATTTTCACTAAGTGAGACAAAATTGCTTTTTTGTTCTTGTGTAAGCTGTAAAATACGGATGTGTGCACTTTGAAATACCCATTCTTGCCTGTTTACTTTTATGATTTAGAACTTATTCTAGAGTAGGTTGGTGATAAATATCAGTTTAATCCATTTTTTTCTTCTGTCTCTGTATCTCTGACATCACAGCGAGTGTAAATGGTCCTTCATCCACATCCGCAGAAAGTGATGGGGCCACTGCAGCTTTACTTTTGTGATTTAGAACTTCTAGAATAGGTTGGTGATAAATATCAGTTTAATCCTTTTTTTTTCTTCTGTCTCTGTATCTCTGACATCACAGCGAGTGTAAATGGTCCTTCATCCACATCCACAGAAAGTGATGGGGCCACTGCAGCACCAGTGGCAGGTACAGCTGCAAATACGTCTTCAGAACAGAGCCCTGAGGGGGCAACAGCAGCAACAACAGCTCCTGCAACCACTGCGCTCACCACACCTCCAGTATCAAGACAAGTCCAGCCAGTAAATCCTCCACCTCAGGCACTTACTACAGTCAGCCAAGGTCCTCTTCCACCTGGGTACGAGTTGTTCGTGCTGACATTTCTGGTTTTACTTTATTTTACTTACAGTAACAAAGCATTCATGACATCTGCCTTCTGCTGCGTAACAAAAATTCCCAGATTAATTTGGAGGTTTTCATGACTGTTTTGTCTGGTAGGCCTTCAAGCCTGGTTTATTCAAGAAAAGAATTAATCCTTCAGATATTTTTGATACTTGTCATAGGTTCCCATGTCAGTGAAACACAGACGTTTTAAATAGTGTGACAGCTTGCTGTCTTCAAATTAGAGTGAAGTCAGGTAGTAAAATATTGGTGTAGGTAAAGAGAAGCAGCGCTGCTATTGCAGTACATAATCTGCGATACGTCCTGAAGCTTTGGACTTCATACTGCAGTGCCTGGGAGGAGCATGGGCACACTTGTGTTTCAGGCACACGTGGAATCTGCCAGATGGTTGGTCTGTTTCCTCAAAGCTCTCATTTAGATTCTAAACTTAAAACAACAAAAAAAACCAAACCCAAAACCAGAGGAGGTTTCTGGACTCTTTGAGTGAGGGAAAGCAAAAGGTTCTCAGTGTGAATGGTGTAACTGGTGAAATATCTGCCTTAGTTTGCAGGCAGTTGAACCAAAAGGCAGGAGGGGTCTAAGTTACCTGCCTTACTCACAGGATAACTGCGAAATAGAAAAGCAGTCTTGAAAACATTGGTTGTTGCTTTACTGTTTTGATTTCAACAGAAATGGCAAATTAGCATGCTTTTCCCCAACGATCTTAAATTTTATACAAATACAGGGGTAAGTCAGTATCCCAAATGCTGCATATGCAGAAAATATGTGACCAGTGCCCTTATGATGAACTCTGTATATACATGATCTGTGCAGAATTTGCATATTTTGAGGATTTAAATTTAATGTTGCTCTAAAAGGGGATTGTGGTCTACAGATTATTCTGTTCAACAGGTTATTGATATGTTTGATATTGAATACAGAGCTGTTTCATTGCTTCCTACAATTGTATGTGTAAGCATGAATTTTAGCTTCAGTTTTCCAGAAACTGAAGGTGGTCATGGAGAATGTTTCTTGTGTACCAGTTGATGTAGAATTACTGTTAATATGAACGCTGTACCCCTGTATATTGTATGGCATTTGGTGCATGTCGTGAACCAAGTGTTTCAAGCATTTTATTTAGAAATAAGAATTTTATGAAAACAAATATACAAAACTGTAGATGAATGGTTGTAGTAGTTTGATATGGAGAATGATAAAAATATTGTTTTATTTTCAGTTGGGAGCAACGAGTAGACCAACATGGTCGAGTATACTATGTAGATCATGTTGAAAAAAGAACAACATGGGATCGACCAGAGCCTCTTCCTCCAAGGTGAGCCAGGATAAGTCATATGGTTGTCTAGGATATGTCTGGATTATTCAGAAATTAGTTGGCTGACAGTTTACTAAAGCTAGAAAGCATGTTTGTAGATAGAAATGCGACCCCAATGCAAACAATTGTTCCAGGTTATCTCCAAGGAGTTCTGCAAAAATGTCTAGTACGTAGCAGAGAAAAGAGTTGAGTGTCAAAAATATCAGAATCTGAATTTCCTCTCGGATTAAGCAAGTGCATCTTTACTGAGAAACGGATTTAAGTTAAAGGCAGTAGACCCCTCCCAACTGTAAAAGAGAACCAAAACCACAGAAAAATATTTTGGGATTGAGGTAGCTGTCAGCTTGAGCAAGAGTGCCCTTGGTTACCTCTTTATCCTGTGGTTACTGTACGCAGTCCTTTGATCTTGTCTCAGGGTTCCCAGCTGCTAATTTACTGTGCTCTTATAAACCCGCTTTGGTTACCAGGCTTTTCCAGCTGTTAGCGTCAGGACAGCCAGGGATGTTAGTCTCTATGTGGAATCAGTGTTCACATTTGTTCTGTGTTTTTTATTTTTTAAAAAACGTAAGAAAAACACAAGAATTATTCTGTTGCACTTCATTTATACTCAAGTGGTTCACACATTATACAGAATTACGAAGTGAAAACCTGGGATAATAAAGAGAACTTGAAATTAAGGAACAAAAAAAGCCTGGTAGACAGTGTCATGATCAGTATTTTTAACTCTGAGAGGATTGACTAGGGTATTACTTAAACATATTCAGAATGGTAGTGTTTTCACTCAAGTCTTGTAAATAGTACTGATTTCATATGAACTGAAAATAAGTTAAAAAACCCATCCCAAAACCAAAACAAACCCAAACCCAGTGCCCACACCTTCCTTTTCTGCCAGATTAAAGTGTAAGAAAATCATGCATTGTACAGCCCAAACGTCAGGGTTTTTGCAGTGTTTTTAGTAGAAACCAGCAGACTGGTTTGGGTTGTCTTATGGTTTGGGTGGGATAAATGCAGTAATGGCAGTATAGTATTGACAGTGCTTTTGTGTAGATCTTGAAAACTTAAAAAAAAATCCTGAAAGTGCAATAAATGGAATGAGTCTGACTTCATATACAGTATGCAACAAAGCAAACCTGATTGTCCTCAAGCCATTTTAGCTCTTACATAGTTTTAGTGAAGGATAAAATGGGAAAAAAAGTCTGCTGATGAGCCCATGCTTTATATCCACTTCCAGCATACTGCCTCTTTGCCTAAAAGTGCTTCTGAGCCCTTTAAATTGTCTGCCATTGACAACTGTTGCTTGTAATTTTTTTAAAAGCTGGGAGCGACGAGTTGACAACATGGGGAGAATTTATTACGTTGACCACTTCACTAGAACAACAACGTGGCAGAGACCAACATTAGAGTCTGTCCGAAATTACGAGCAGTGGCAGCTTCAGCGCAGTCAGCTTCAAGGAGCTATGCAGCAATTTAATCAGAGGTTTATATATGGGGTAAGGAATATAACGATGACTGAAAAGGTTAACTAAGAGAGATGTCTCTTGCAAATTTTCAACCCTGTAGTCTCCTGCATATTGAAAGTCTATATGTATTTGGGTTTGGGGCATGCTTGTGGGTGACTTTTTCCCCTTAAAGATACCAGACTTTGTTATGGTTTATTCTTTACATAATAGAGTATCTTTGTGTGTGTAGCATGGCAGAAAGTAATAATTGGTAACTTCAGTTCACATCCTTGCAATGACTGCAGGCAGCACATGCAGAGCAATGGTTTTTGTTTGTTAGCTGGATCTAGGTGGTGTTCTTTGATAAAATTTCTGTACAGTATTGATAAAAGCCATTGGTTCAAAACAAACTACAGCTTAGTAATAAGCTGGTTTATTTGTATTGTGTCTTGTATTGGCTGGGCCAAAGAGCTGGAAGGTAAGCAACTGGACATATATTTCTGCTTTGGGTAAAATGAAATGTGCACAATGAATGTTATGAAAACAGGTAAATGAAAAATAATACATTGTTTACCTCTGATGAATAGTAGACTTTACATAACTCCAACTCATGCTACTGGTTTATCAACAATGGTGTAGGTTCTAAATTTGCTGTATGTGTAGAGAATAAAAATGGAGCTCATAAATGGTGATAGGGAGAACTGTACTGAATGCAGGAATGAAGTGGTTTGCTTTCTGATTGTTTTGGGTGCTACTGTACTAATTTTCCTTCTACGTAGGCAGGGGCACTAAACAAAGAATAATTATTTTCTTGGCACTGTAGTTAATTAGGCATGCCAAGGTCTGTCAAATAGACCTTCTCTGTGGAGAAAAATAAATTGTTGGCATCTTTGCTTATATGTAACATTAACAAAAATGCATTTACTTCAGTAATTCATGATGGCTGTGGCAGAACATCTGGAAAGCAAATGACTAGTCATTAATGCACCATTTGTTTGTGTGACTTGCAGAACCAGGACTTCTCATCCACACAGAACAAAGAGTTTGATCCTCTTGGCCCTCTGCCACATGGATGGGGTAAGACTGACTTGAAAGTGTTTTGTGATGCAATGTAGTTAAACATTAAAGCATACTTCTGCCAAATTGTTTTGTCAGCTGTTCTAGGCTATTTTTAAAAAATGAAAATCTGTATTAAAAATTTTTAAAATTAATCAAATGTACTGTTAAAAGAGAGCCCTGACAATGATGTGCAAAGTAGATTAGAAACTATAAAGTATTCTGGTTTACTCCCTGTAACCATAATAGCTTCTTTTCACGCTGTCATCCTTTTTGTACCACTTTCATTAGGCAGGATTCTTCCCTACCATCCCATTCCTGACAAATCGGGCTCCAAATCTCCTCTAAATCAGACTGCCACATTCCCTCTCCAAGCCAATTCTTGGAGAGTTTTGTTGGTCTGAAAATGTTTTTTATAATGACAACTAACTGCTTGTTGAGTTTACCCTCTGCCTGTTATAAATTTGGTTTTGTACTTTACAGGTACAATTTACAGTTAATATAGTCAGGGGGTGGGGGGTGTCCAAAAATGTACGTGTGAAAGTAATTTCTAGTGTGACTATCAAGCAGATATAAGAATTCGGGTTTCATTATACATAAGCAAAGTTCTCAGAATTGTGTAATTTTAAAGCAAGCAATTACTTGGCAGAGACAGAGCTGGGTTTTTGGCTTGTCTGTTTTTCAAGCATAACTACCTTGATTTTTAGTTCTGATATTGATGCAATTTCACGCCATAAAATTGTTGTTCCCCACACTTGTGCTTTGTGGCATTACATATATAACATTTCAAAGGAAGTTCTTTAGGCTGGCGTTGCCCAAGAAACAACCAAACTGAGTTTCCACATCGTACTGAGTTCTGCTGTCAGTGCAGCTCTCGTAGACGAGTGTCTCCTTCCAGACTTCTCTTGTACACTGAAGCTTTTTACCTGTGGTAGTCAGATTTTGGCCTGGTTTTATAGTTTGTATTCTATATTCTGTACTTCTTTTGCAACGCTAAATAAAAATTGCATACAGAGCTGCAGAATGGTACAGAAGAGCAAGCCAGGGCATTTAGCATAAGCTTTGTTCAGTCGTGGGCATCTACTAAACTATCTGAGAGAAGATATAAGTGTATTTTCTTGTAAACTGCATAGATCATTTTTTATTCCCTGCTCATAATTTGAATATGAAGCCCTTGTACTTTCTTGATACTTGTGTATCCATCTGGTACCTATGTTGTGTTTCCTGCCTATATTGCTTGTAAGGTATGTCACAATAATCGGAGCAGCTGGACTTTGGTGTGGAGATAACAGCTTATGTTTTTTCTTTCTTACAATTAATTTTTTCCTACAATTGAAAAATAAATAGCATAGTAAAGGATCTTAAGACAGAAATTTCAACTTCTTCAATATTTTAATCCATATAAATTTAATTTGCAAAGATACTGAAAAACCCTTTTAAGAAGGGCAAACAGTAGGGCAATAGATGTAGTGAAGATAAATCTCCTGTGATGAGCAACTTCCTCCATGCAAATCTTTATCTGGTTGTTAGATGCCCAGAATCTCCCTTATGGTCAGGCTTAAGCAGCGCAGGCAGAGATAGCTGAACTTTTCAGGGTAAGAATTGAGATATAAATAACTTACCTTACCATTAAGTGCAGCTTTTCATGGAGGATAGGTGATGGTGCAGTTTCATATGACTATTAGTAGTTGCTACTATTAGGACAGGCTGCTGTTTGTGAATAGCCTATTAAGCAATAATGTCAATAAAATTGAAGAGATGTTGAGTCAAAGGAGGTACAGGGAAACCTGAAGACAGTAGAGGTTGTAGCAGGGCCTGTTGATTGATTGATTTATTCTTTTTTATTTGGTGTAGTCTCATTAGAGATACATTAAGCAGATATTGATTTTTTTTTTTCCTTTCACATCTTTTCAGAAAAGAGAACTGACAGCAATGGCAGAGTGTATTTTGTCAATCACAACACACGAATCACTCAGTGGGAAGATCCCAGGAGTCAGGGGTAAGAAATCAGTTGCAGCTTTGTGTAAGTCTGGAATGAAAATACAACAAAGTAGTGAGAGTGGGAGTTAGGAAATGCTGCCCACAGCTGAAACATGGACTGTCCTACACAAACTTCAGACAGCCCATTAAAATAGTAAAAGGTACTAGCCAAAATTTTTCACTGTGCAGGGGGTGAGGCAGTGGCCCAGGTTGCCCAGAGAAGCTGTGGATGCCCCATCCCTGGAGGGGTTCAAGGCCAGGCTGGATGAGGCTTTGGGCAACCTGGGCTAGTGGGAGGTGTCCCTGCCCATGGCAGGGGGGTTGGAACTCGATGATTTTTTAAGGTCCTTTCCAACCCAAACCATCCTGTGATTCTGTGATTCCTACTGTCCAAATATCACTTAATAATAATGCAATTACCAGGAAAGTCTTGGTCACCAGTGATCATTTCATTCCCCAGAACAGCTTCTACTGTTTTTATAAATAAGACACGTGTGTCTAATAGTTTGTATCATTGGGGGAGGGAGGGATTTCTGTCATATGGTGATGGGATAGTGCAGAGGATCTTGACTAAGAATGTGATTATTTCCTAGACAGCCAATAGCTAAGAGACAGAAGACAAACTTGAAAAACTGCAGCACTCCTCCTTGCACCTTTAAGGAGGAAAAAAAAAAAGAGAAAGAACTTGAGGTGCTACTGAAAGTAATGGAGTACTGTTTATTTCAGGCTCTAGTCACTCTGACTCTTTGAGGTGGGGAATGTAGGCAGGAAATTGAGGGTGAAGGATGTTCAATCCCAACTCCTCCTGTTTAAGCAGAAAATTTCCATTTGGTGTGAAGCAGCTTCATCTGTCCTCTACAGAGAAGGAGTAAGGGGAGGGGGAGCCTAGTCTGTGTGGAGGGGTAGTAGCTGTAGCCAGAGATGACAACTCTTCGTACAACGCAACAATCAGCTGGCGTCACAGTGAGAAATGTGGTCCTATGATGTAGTTCTGTTGAGGGAGGTCACTCTCGGAGCACTTTGGAGTGATACTACTCAGGTCTTCCAAATACATTGAGATCTATTTTTTTTGTACCAAAATTGAGTTGGAAGTTGTCAAAAAATCATACAAGATCAGTGTTTGCATTTTTCTTATATATTTGTCATTCTGAAAATCTTACATTTTTGACTACTGTGATTATACATGAGATACCAAAAGCTACTTATTAGAACTTTGTCAGTTTTAGAGTAAAAACCCAATAGTTAGAAGATAAAATTCAGTTGTTTAAATGGAGGAAACATTGATAAACGTTGCTTGTATTTAAACAGTCATTTTGGTATAATGACATGAAACATTTAAGAGGAAAAAAAGGCAGAATAAACATTGAAAGGAAGGTTTCTCAATCCTTAGTTTTTCTAGATCTACCAGAATTTTTACTATCTCAGGTGTTGTTCAATTGACTTGATGTATTAAGTTGATGAGTTACCATATATTTTCTTGTATCCATAGTCAATTAAATGAGAAACCCTTACCAGAGGGCTGGGAAATGCGATTTACTGTGGATGGTATTCCATATTTTGTGGATCACAATAGAAGAACCACTACATATATAGATCCCCGCACGGGCAAGTCTGCTCTGTAAGTGTTTTTAACATTATACTAAGCTCCCACAAGTGAAGTTCTGCACACATCATTTTTGAAAGTTGTGTTTTTTCCCTCTTTGTACATTTTTTATGCAGGTAGTTTGACATGTAGTGACGCTTCTAATTTTCAGGGTTTTTTACATCCACTGATAACTGTCGCTGAAGAAGACAGTGTTTTGAAGGCTTTAGAATCCTTCTTGCCAAGTAGTATATACGATTCGAGGGTAATGGAGGAGCTTCCTCAGTACTGCTGATGACCAGATCCCTTCCTTCCAGTTACTAGTCTTTCTTTTAAAAAGTACACTCAGCACTTTGATTTTTAGGAACCACAATGGAGTTAAAAACAGAACTTAACTCCCAACTTAAATTAACTGAATGTCATTCCATCCTTACTGTTAGAATCTTTTTTGCAGTTAGTAATCAGATACTGTTTAAAAAGTACTTTGTATGTGCTCCACAATTTACAAAAGAAGGGTTTTTTTAGTTTAAAAACAAGAAAATTACACCCCAGAATAAAAAAATGTGAATAAGAATCTCCTAACTAAATAGCAACTGAGCCATACAACTATATAACTAATACATTTGCAGGCTTTTACTTAAATTACAAAAACACTTTTGAAATTGATTTTTTTTTCTCCTTTTGGTTCCAGAGACAATGGACCCCAGATAGCTTATGTGCGTGATTTCAAGGCAAAGGTCCATTATTTCAGATTCTGGTGTCAGGTATGGATTAATTTATTGGGAATATTTGTTTGCATTTTTGGTGTTTGCTTATGTGCTATAAATTAACTCTTCGATGCCTTGCAAGTAAAAGTCATTAAAGTACTTTAAGGTTAAAGGTGAATTAAATGAGGAGGGAGTAAATACAGGACTTGTATAAACTCATGTAAGCTTTAAAGCCCGATGAGCTATGGCTTCAAAACTTTTTAGAATAAAGGAAAACACTGATTTAGCTACTTTTTTTTTGAAGTAGTGGGTTTCAGGATAGTGTTTTCTTTCTGCTGTTAAGGCAATGTATGGAGGCACAGTATTTTTATTGTTAATATGAGATGCACTTTCTGCACAAATATGTCCTGGAAGAAAATGCAGGACATTTGACACAGAACATGCATGTCTAAACATTGAAGAATATACTGTATTGCATGTTAGCGTGCTCTAGCATAATACCAAATTCCAGTGTGTCAGTCTTGGTCCTCTAAACTCTATGTATATCAAAAGATTAAGTAACCTGGTGTCTAGGAAAAAGTCTTATGTGTAAATGTTCCGTTTTTGAAAAATAGCAGAGAGACTAGCCTAATTTTTCACTTCAAATTTTGTGCAGAATAATCTAAATTTTCTAATTTTTTATTAAATTCTGGGGTAGAAAGCCTTGCTGACTTAGAATATGTTGTTGATCTTAATGTTTTCTGACGTCTTGCAAGAGTGCAGTATTTGAACCTGCTTTAAGCAGGATCTGGAGGCACATATACCTCACTGTAGATATAAATATTGGAAGCAATTTGTTCTTGGAGTAAATTGCAATTCAAATACCTTGATTAGTGGGTTTATTTTATGTGGATTAGTGAAATTCTACTGTACCTCTTAAAAAATACATATGACAAATAACAGTTCAAACTCAGTATTAGAAACTTAAAGGGATTGTACACTTCACCTCTAAAAAATTTCATTTCAGCAACTGGCAATGCCACAACACATAAAGATTACAGTGAGCAGAAAAACATTATTCGAGGACTCATTTCAACAGGTATTGTATTAAAATATGCTAGTGGGCATGAACAACTGAGTTGATTAAATTTATTGTGACATGTCATTCTTGATCCTTTGACATCTTGCTAATGTCGTTTTAAGTGAGACTAACAAAAAAAATACTACTTCAATAGCTAGGATCCATTCATACTTACATATTAAAAGATGATGCTAACGTGAAGTTTGGGTTCTAAAGACTGATTCATCTGATGGAGAAAGTGATTTTTATTTTTTATTTTTCCTCAGAATTCTTTAAAATCTGAGTTCATTTTGAGGGGAGTGCGGTGGCAGAGCACTTCCCCATTCTCAGGAAGCTTTCATGTTGTGCTTATGTCTGTTGGCACAGTTTTTCTAACAGTGTGTTATATAAACGTGGGCTGCATACCGAAATATATGAAGTAGATCTTAGTCTGGGTGTTACGGGTCTTTAAATGAGTAACCAAATGGTTAAAAAGAATACAAAAATTATATATTTTGTTTAGATTATTAGTAGCAAAATTATTTTTAATGTCTGTAGACCGAAACCATGGTTAAAATTTGTTCCTATACAATATTTTCAAGTGCTTTTGAATTTTACTTCTTGAATGTTTATTGTGGCAGTAAATCACTCCCATTGCTTGTTAAATTGAAGCCAAAAGCAGCTCTTTGTCAGTCTAATAAGACATACAGAAACAAGCTTGGAAGTGCACGGAACAGTTCCTCTTGGCAGGCACTCCTCTTGGCCACTTCTATATTTTTCTGACTTAAGAAAATGCAGACCTTATCTAAGAAGATAGGAACTTTTAGCTTCCTCTGTCCCTAGCTGGTTTTTTTTATCTTCCTATATGTCTTCAGACTTCATTTCCTGTAGGAATTATCACAGGTGTGTCAAGCCAGGAAATGTGAACAAATAGAATAATGTCTTCAGATAAATATATTCTTAAATAAGGATTAATGCTTTCTTCTTCAAATTACTGTAAACTGGCTTAGCAGAAGCAACAAATGGTGCAGGTGACTGGTCTTTTCTTTTGGAAAAGATATCTTCAAATAAAAGGGGTTAGAAGGGGACAAAATAAATCTTGTAACTGAAAGTTAGCTCCAGCCTCATTTCTAAAATTGCACTTGGTCCTTTTACAGTGACTGTAGAGGTAATAAAATTACACTTTACTTGAAGGAATTAAGAGATTATGTAAACATCAGCAAACTTAGGATCCCTTAGGAAAACAGGGTGCCTTATCAATAATTTAGATGACAGAATTGCAAAGACCTGAGTTAATTTTTTTTTATACTTGTTAGTCATTCATCATTTGCAGGCATCTCTGTTGGGTTTATAATTTTTTTGGTAATGATTACTACAGACATCTAGGAGAGATTTTAAAAAGCAAATCTTGACCCCAATTCTGTGCCTCTCATTGCAAACAAAAACTTAAGGTTCTTGGGCACAGAAGTGTTACGTGACATTTCTTTATGTAAACCTCTGACAATTGGGCAAATCAACATAATTTACAAGTTTGGTCACTTTATTAAACCCAGCGTTAGTAAAGCTCCTTGGCCCCATCCCTGGAGGGGTTCAAGGCCAGGCTGGATGAGGAGGCTTTGAGCAACCTGGGCTAGTGGGAGGTGTCCCTGCCCATGGCAGGGGGTGGCACTGGATGGGCTTTAAGGTCCCTTCCAACCCAAACCATCCTGTGATTCTTCCTAACTTTAAAAAAACGCCAAAAAACTGCAAACAAGCCAGCTAGATTTTTATTACCCTCTTTAGGAGATGAAGCTGTAAAATGAAAAAATATATAATGTATGTTTGTTATTGTTATGTTTCTAATTTATTTATTTGAGTCCTTGATCAGGTCTCTTCAACACTTGTAACTGGGAGAGCATTCAGTATGGTATTTAACAAATACCGAATTTATTCACTTGGGCCCATTATTTATTGGCTGGTTTTCTGTCATGTACTTATAGACAGGCTACTGGCCCAAGTATCCTGAGTCTTTAATTTCAGAATTATTATTTCATGTTCTTTTACATCTTTTACTTTTTAATCTATGGAAGTAGGTGTGCACTAACGCTTCAAATTCCATGAGCATTCCATAAGCAAGTTCATTTTATGCTCTGAATTATTAAATACTATATCGCTTGATCGCAAATAGTAATAAGTCTAGCCAGTGCTTATAGCTGTTTTCTTAAAAAGAATTGATTGTTTTTCTTTTACTAAGATAATGAGCTTCAGCCCTCAGGATCTACGGAGACGTTTATGGGTTATTTTCCCTGGTGAAGAAGGCTTAGATTATGGAGGTGTTGCAAGGTAAACTAAACTGAAATGGTAAACAATATCTTTTTCTGCGAGTTGTTAGTGTGAAGAGTTCCCCAAAGCAGATACTTAAACTGCAGTGCTTTCAAAATATGAGTGAAGTTTATTCCTTATCTTTCCTTGGAACATCTGCGGAAGACAGTTCCTTAAGATGTATGCATGACTAAAAATGATATAAAATTATTTTCAGTAAAAACTTTGTCTCAGTGATCAGAGAGACACACAGTTTACTGAACTACAGTAAGCCTTTGGCACAACCATTAATATCAAAGTAGAGGTTTATTGAAAAACTGAATAGAAATCTAATTTCAAGTCAGAAGTCTTTACTGGAATGTAACAGAGAAGTGCATATATTAATTAGCATTCCCTAAAACCCTGAAGTTTAAATCAGTGGAAGACTTTTAATCTGCTTGTTTAGATAAGGGTGTTTTTTATCCAGACCACTGACTGTTTGTTGTATATCATTGTAACTTTGCATAGTAATTCATGAATTGTGTTGGTTTCATTTGGTTTCAGTTTGGTGTGACACACTTACTGGTAAAGAAGTCAGATTGACTACTTTTGTGCCAACAAGTTCCTAAGTCAACATGAGTTAAATTAATTTCTAATTTAATTTATTTTGAAATGTGGTTTTGTTGTTCTTGTGATTTCAGGGAATGGTTCTTTCTATTGTCACATGAAGTTTTGAACCCAATGTATTGCCTGTTTGAATATGCAGGGAAAGATAACTACTGCTTACAGATAAACCCAGCCTCTTATATTAATCCAGACCATCTGAAATACTTCCGATTTATTGGAAGATTCATTGCCATGGTAAGTTCAAAAGTAGAAGCAGTTTCTCTTATGTAATTTTCCTATAAATAAATATTGTACCATCAAATGGATAATTAAACAGTTCATTTTTGAGTTGAAACTATTATCAAGTGTTTGGATATAACTACTGTTGGTATAAGTTGCTTCAGCATATTAGCATTCATGATATTCTAGGTTGTTTTAATTCTTTAGCTGTCAGACTTAATTGGTACAGAGTACAGAATGTTGTAATATTAATTATTTGATCATCCTTTGCATTATTTTGTCTGTTTCATGGGTTTTTTTCAGGCTTTGTTCCATGGGAAATTCATTGACACTGGTTTCTCTCTGCCGTTCTATAAACGTATCCTAAACAAGCCAGTAGGACTCAAGGATTTAGAATCTGTTGACCCAGAGTTTTACAACTCTCTCATCTGGGTAAAGTGAGTTTGACTTGATTTTGTTCTTGAAATAGTAATACAATGGTTTTGATTTTCACTTACGCCAGGAAGTAGGTGTAAATTTATTACTAAAAGCCCCACTGGAAAGTGTATCAGTTGCAGGGCAGTACTGGCATTTTTACTGTAATTTGAGGTAACGCAAATAGTAATTTGATAATGCAAAAGCCTTTCTGGTTCATTGAATATTCTGCATAGCATCTTGCATTCCATTTTTGCTGGTTTTTAATAAACCTAGCTAGACATTATACACATGTGGCAGTCTTGAACAGTTACAAATCAGATGGCTTGAGTAAATTCCACTCAGACTTTTCAGATAACCGATTAAAAGAAATCAGCTAAAATCTGCTCAGTGTTTCTCTCTCTAGTACCTGGTTTAGTTAAAAAACATTAAAAGTTTAGTGCTACAATAATGTGAAGTTAACAAATGTAGTTTATGTACCACCACCTAATTCTTCTGTTAGTCATACCTGAAATTTGACTCAGAGGTTAATATTGCAGATTTAATGCTTTAAAGAAGTTAATGCTTATATGTTTTTCTACCTGTCCTTTGTTTTTTGCTCTGAGCTGAATGATTCAAGACCATTCCTACATGTAGCCTTCCATGTATGCATTGTCAGTCATCTGTCTGTTCTCCATTCCTACTCTTTTTAAGTCCTCTGTCTCCACTCCTTGGCAGATTCCTCTCCAGAGAGCAGCAAGTAAAAAGGATCTGGAGTTTGCAGACCACAATTTTTTTTGGAATTATGTGTCAAAAATATTTTAATAAATAATTTTTTAAATGCCTTAGATCCAAAGCATTGTAATTCTGTACTTATTTTATAATAGCAGAACACCAGGATGTTGTAGTCCATGGTTGAAGTGCACCATTTGTTTCAGTAACAGTTGATTTTCCTTTCCCAACAGTTGAAAAAGAAAAATTAGACGGGAAAGACAAAAAGACAAATTCAGTTAATTTTTTTTTTTTGTTTTTGCTATAGGAAAAAACAATTTATCAGAAAAAATAGGGGGTTTTTTTGTGGCTGGAGAGATAAAACATTTGTCTTAAGAATCATACAAAAACAGAATAGTTTTAAAAATGCTTCAAGAGATATTCAGAAAATGTTTGGGGATATGTTGTTTTTTTAAATACAGAAATAAATAGAAAAGACAAGATTCTCATCTCCTGTAGTGCTGAATCTTGGAAGCATTATCTTGAATAATGAGGAGGGGGGAAAGCAACAAGTTGAGATAAGAATTTTGATTTGGTTTTTGAAGAGTAGTATGTGCTGTAGTCAATGTATGTGCTGCTAAAAGGTGTGGTGACTTGAAATTCTATTAGGAAAACTTAAAATTGTTGCTGTTTGAGTAAAGATGCCATGAAACTGAGACCTGAAAGGGAAGAAAAGGTCTCAAAGTTGTAAGTCCTGCCTTCTGTAATTAAGGAAACCTGTTCTCTCTTTTGTGCTCACAAAATGTATATCTCTATTTTTTTTAAAACGTCACTTTCTTGTCATCTTGGGACTTACTGAGTTTTAGAGACCAAGCAAATATGATACTGAAAAAAGCAAGTTACATCAAAATTGCATTAAATCATGGGGGAAGCTTTTACTGGTGAATGATCTTCTAACTAAATTATAACGAGTTGCACATATAACGGTGTTTACCTTATGAACAATATCAATCCGTTAATATTTTGTGGAAAGTCTAGAGTAAAAGGGTATTATTTTACACCATTATCTGTAGTCATAGTTGCATCTTTGTGTCTGTATGTGTAGTGCACATAAGCTGGCCACTTCTCACCTTTCAAAGCAGTGGGCTTTCTTTAGAGCACCCAGTAACTGCCAGGTCTTTCAGTGTTGCTCCAGTGTGGTACATTTTTTCCGTGTATGGTTCTTCTGGTGAAGATGTAATTTCTAATGGTCCGAAAGAGAGCACAGAGGCTTCTGGATGTCATTATTAGGCTGCTTCTCAATGGCAACAAATGGGACTTGTCACAGACATTGCAGAACACCTTTTTCCCCTCATTTTGATTCACAGTATGCAGTGTTGCCAGATGCCACCCAGTGGGTTGTTGGTGTGAAACTTCCAAGACCAAATTCCTGGGTACTAGCAGTCCCTAATGAAAGATTTTGTCAAAGGCAGGAGAAGCCTGCATCTGTAGTAAGGAACCAGAAAACTCAGAACTTGCTGTCGAGAACGACATTTACATCTCACCATGTCTGTGAGGGTTTCAAATGACTAACTTGTGCTGGTAACCTATGCCTTCATTAATCTGCACTCACTGTTTGGGGGTTTTTGCCTTTTTTTATTAATCTGCACTCACTGGGGGTTTTTGTCTTTTTTTTTTTCTTTGATTCTTCACTTTGCAGAAGCGTGTATCAACACAGAAATTACAGTGTTGTACCTGTTATTCTCCTGGCTATTAACACCTATAAAGTGAATAGAGATTATTTGAGCAACGTTTGTTGGCTACGGATTTTTCTTATATTGAAGTTTCTAAGACAATTCCTCTTTAGAAGGAGTAATTGTACTTCGTTAACTTAGGAGCCGGGGACATTTTAGTGTGTACTTACAAGATAGTCTCATAAATATACTGGAGTTGAAGATAATTCATTAAGCATGAAAAGTCTTTCTTAGTTGCTTCTTATCTGCTGTTATCTGACAAAGTGACAGCTGCGTGTTAACACAGTCCTTACATTACCTGTTAGAAGAAGCCATCATGCAATGAAATACACAAAACTGTCATTGCTTGAAAAGTTTGTGTATTCCGTAGCCCTTCCGCAGATCATAGTCAGCAGGTAGTTTTCAGCCTTGGGATTGGTAAATGTAAGGGTACTACTGATCAAACCTTTCTGATCAGGAGTACAATTCACATTTGCATGGTGGTAAAATGAATCAGGACTTCTTGCAAAACCATAATTATTGTGTAAGGATCATTTCCTTATCTTGATTATTTAGCTCCAAACCTTTTTTCTTAAGGTTCTTCATACCCATTTCCTGTACTAAGTGCAAGGTCTTGACACAGTTATTTAAAATTATATTTTTTTCCTTACAGAGAGAATAATATTGAAGAATGTGGCTTGGAAATGTTTTTCTCAGTTGATAAAGAAATTCTAGGTGAAATCAAAAGCCATGATTTGAAGCCAAATGGTAGCAACATTCTGGTCACAGAAGAAAACAAAGAAGAATATATTAGGTAAGAATAAATGAAGATTTTAAAAATACTGTTATCTCCATCATTTTCTTTCTTTAGTTCTATCAAGAAAAGATTTGTCAAACTGTGTAATCTGAACCATTGTTGAAATTCTGTCTCTGAATAACCGCTGATGTTGCCAACAATCATAGAATCATAGAATCATTAAGGTTGGACAAGAACTCAAGGACCATCAAGTCCAACCGTCAACCCAACACCACCAACCCACTAACCCATGTCCCCAAGCACCACATCTACACGTTTCTTGAACCCCTCCAGGGATGGTGACTCCACCACTGCCCTGGGCAGCCTGTTCCAATGCCTCATCACTCTTGCAGTGAAGAAAGTTTTTCTAATATCCAGCCTAAACCTCCCCTGGTGCAACTTGAGGCCATTTCCTCTTGTCCTATCGCTTGTTACTTTAGAGAAGAGGCAGCACCCCCCTCACTGCACCCTCCTTTCAGGTAGTTGTAGAGAGTGAGTGGCAATTGTTTGGCTGTCATATTTGAAGGATGAATATTGGTAGAAATAAGTTTTTAAAATCCACTTTTCTCAAAGATTACAGTTAGTAGAAGGTCTACTTTTTTCTGAGAGATAATGTGTAACAGAACATCATGATCACAAATGTGGATGTCGGGTATTTCATGAAATCATTGCATATGTTTATTATTGGAATTATATTGCTTCGCAGCCTGCTGATATGCTACCCAGCCATTTATGTTTGGGGTTTTTTTTAAATTAAAGAAAATTTTTGGATGCTTTTGTGATGATTCTTCTATTTTAAAGATACTTGGGATCGCTACTAGTTCTATCTGAACTGGTCTTACAGTGTAATTAGGTCTTGGCATTTGTGACAGGACAGTGTGTTGAATGATGTCGTGGTTGTATTGTTGTGAATGAAGGATTGTGTTTGCAGTATGAGAATGTTTTAAAGTAAGAAGGAAGGAGCCTAAGAGTAATTAAAGAGTAAAAAGGTGAACAATGACCTGCTTTGTCCTGAAATATCCCCTTCTTCCTCAATGTGCACCAGTACATAAGCTCTGCTTTAAGGTGTGAACGTCAAGATACAACCCTCGAGGATGTGCTTGCAAAAAAAAAAAAAAGTCACACATTGCAGGCATAAAATTAATTTAATCACAGCAGAATTTTATTCTCTTTGTTGCAATCTGTTCTGTGAAGGCTTCTTTTCATGGGAAGGGGTGAGGGAGAAGGGAGTGGATTTTGTTTTCATTGCATGAGTAATTAGAAGACATTTCAGTGGTTCACAGAAAACGTAGCATTTGCAGAGGAAACATGCTGGCATTTAGCAGTTTTGCAAAGAAGGGAGGATCTGCAGAAAAACATTCTTTTGTAGTTTCTAGGAACCCAGGGAGAGGTCAGATTCCAGTTTCATTCATATTCTTTTGTCTTGCTTTAAATCCCCTAAGTTTCTAGGATTGAACTCAGAAAATAGCCATCTCTCCTTTAGACTCCAGTTCTCCTGACAGGTTAGGCTTGAATTCAGCATAATATCTGCTTCTCCCTGGGTTCAGGTTCTTCAGGTCTCCTGCCTGCTTTTCAGCCTTTTATTAATGGAGAGTGGAGTTTCTGCCACAGAGCAAAGTTTCATGCTTAACAGAAACAAATATGGAACTTTCCAAATGGACGTAGTCGTTTCTTGGTAAGCTAGCAGTCCTACTTATCTTCACTGGTGCAACTTGACCTAGTTTTTACCTTTTCATGGATAATGACTGAGATTTCTGGGGAGAATGTTAGACAAATATAGCTCTGCATTTTTTTCTTTCTTCAAATACCTAGGGACTGCTGTGCTCTCATTAATATAATCAGTGAATAGATGCTGCCTCCTCTTTGAGTCCAAAATCAGAATGGTTTGTAACAGAGGGTTTTAAGTTAAAGAAAAAACAAAATCGTTTGCGCAGAGTAAAGGTTACTAATAAAATTACACACTGCACTATCCCCAGAACTTTCCAGACTTTCCATATTTTTTTAACTTAGCTTTCGGTTCATCTCAAAATAGGTGAACAAAGATGTGGACTTGGGTTAGCACAGGCCATGTAAATTCTCTTTCTGTATCTTTTACAGGCTAGTAGCAGAATGGAGACTTTCCCGAGGTGTTGAGGAGCAGACACAGGCTTTCTTTGAAGGCTTCAATGAAATTCTGCCACAACAGTATTTGCAGTATTTTGATGCTAAGGAACTGGAGGTAAAGGGTTCCTTGGCTATTGCTAGATCCAGGTTGTTACACAGAAAATAACTTAATGTCCAGCCGTTATGTCTGAAGAGCAGAACTCACTAAGGCTGACAGCTCTGTTTTATAAGGTGTATGAGTGAAACCTTATGGAGTAGTATTTGATTAGCTTGTTTCCCTTCACTTTCCTCTTTGCAGCCTACATGCTTCTGGAGTCTGAGATTCTGTCAGCAGACGTTTCTTACCAAATTGCTTCTGTAATCCTCAGCAATTTAATTTGCCTGTGTTCAAAGAATGAGTAACTTGACAGAAAGGGAGATAAAACCAGATATGCAATAGATAATTGCATATAGACTGGACCAGGTTCTAGATGGTTTTGATCTCTCAAAATTACACTTTCTGAAGCATCTGTTCAATTTAAAAATATGAAAACATAAAACCAAAACATCCTGTTCCTAGCAGAGAATTGTGTGGCTGGGCAGTGATAAACTGTTCCTGGCTTGAACGTCTAAATGCAAGCAGTTACTCCATTTTTCATGAGGGAGATGCTTTCTATTTTGTGGCCTCTCCAAATACACTTCATGAGTAGAAGTCTTGGATAAAGTTTAAAATTAAAACCAAGTATACTGTCATTGCTTCTCTAATTATGGGTGCAGTTGATGTCCTGTTTTGTTATGTGGGAAGTCACAGAAGGAAAGTAATAACTTGTACTCACATGTTCATTTCCCTTTTTCTCCCTTAAAGGTGCTTCTATGTGGAATGCAAGAAATTGATCTGAATGACTGGCAGAGGCATGCCATCTACAGGCACTATACCAGGACCAGCAGACAGATAGTATGGTTCTGGCAGGTTTGTAGACCTTGTTTTATTCTCAGAACAACAGAAGTTACAGAGTTACAGAGCACAGCTCCAGCTTAGTAAACAATAGTCAGAATTACTGAACAGATCTGTAGCGTTTAAATATAAATTGTTACTGCTAATCCAGCTATTGGTAACAGTCATGTAATTTGTTAATCTAAGGATGATGATGTGAGACTCTGAATATCAAATCTGTACCTAAATGTTTATTTCAACTACTATTTTTCAGTTTGTGAAAGAAATAGATAATGAGAAGAGAATGAGACTCCTGCAGTTTGTTACTGGAACATGCAGATTACCAGTGGGAGGATTTGCTGACCTCATGGGTATGCATTAATAGTCCCTCTGATGCATTAGATAATTCTTTTTTTTTAAATAACCAAGTTATACATTTATGAATATTTTTAATGAATTTTATATTCAATGCTATTTTGTATACTTAAGCTATGACGAAAAAGAGATGGAGGGAATGTTTACACCTGTTGTACTGAGTTTCAAAATCACCAAATTTATGCATTTCACCACATGCATACTTTAATTGAGACAGAGTTGTGTAGTAGAAGACAGAAGCCTTTTTTCTGTGCAAGTAATGGTAACCTTGTCTTGGTTTCAAGCCTTTCATACTTGAGTCATAATGTATTGCCTGCTGATACAAAGGTAGCTAGACCTATGCCTTGTTTATTTGATTTTGTTAACAGGGAGCAATGGACCCCAAAAGTTTTGTATTGAAAAAGTTGGAAAGGAAAACTGGTTACCTAGAAGTCATACCTGGTGAGTGTGTAACAAATTAGAATATTACTGGTGTTGTGGTTTTGCTGACAACAACCAACTTGGAGATTTTAGTAAAGAGTTAATATGTGTAAATGGTTGAGACTGTGTGAAAACACACCCTGAGTTATACCGATAAACTTTGTGGTTGGGTAGCAGCTGAGCTTCTGCAAAGCTCTTGTGGCAGGGAATAGATTCCATTGTTAATTCCATGGATTACTGAAAATTTCAAGTAATAAACCATACTGTCTAAAGGGGTTGGGATTGATCTTTTGTTATCGCTGCACTCCCTTGTGTTAGTGAAGTAGCCACATTCACACTCCCTCTTCCCTCGAGAACGTGTAGCTTCCCCTCAGGCCCTCAGGTGCATTAGTGGTTAGTAAAACCACACAAATTTAACATTTCAAATGTGAATGATGACTCTAGTTAACCAACTAGGAAAAGTCCGTGGAACTTCTTACCAAGTACACCGCATTTCTAGAAAACTCTCACTGTTCAACTTTTTTCTCTCAGAAATACATAAACTTGTGTCGGTAGTCAGCTTTTCACAGAGTATAAATCCAGGTATCCATCTACACAGCAGAAAGTTTTGTTACCCATATTCATAATGGATTTTTTTGTGATGGTTTAATTATTTTTCAGTACTTAAGTTTTTCTTTGTTTTCAGTTTCAATCGTTTAGACCTTCCACCCTATAAGAATTATGAGCAATTGAAGGAAAAGCTGTTGTTTGCAATTGAAGAAACAGAAGGATTCGGGCAAGAATAGCTAAAATTTGCACCTTGAAGAATGTGAACTCAACACAATGTATGTTATTCACTTCTTCTGCTTGTTGCACACTTCATTGTAAAGTAGACTTGACTTGGATTTATTTAACAATACTAATGTGTAAGTAAATGGATGTTATCCTGAGGTTTTATCCACATTAACTCTGGATTTCTACTGAGCACTTTCAGAAATCAAATGAGCAATCAGATATGGCTACAAATTAAATATGACCTAAGTAGAGGTTTAATACAGCTTTGGGTTCTGCTTTGTTTCACCATTCATTAATTAGAATGTGTCCTTAATGACTGACAGATTTTTAACAATAGTTTTGTCTTTCCTTTTTAGTAGCATTTTTTTGCTACTGATGCACTGGGAAGTTCATTGGTAGCTGCAATGCTGCAGCATCATCATCAGCCTCTTGACAGCAGTGATCTTAGAGCCAGCTTGTAACCATCCTCTGCGTACTGTGAGCAAATCCATCACTTAATCTCTTTTTTCTGACTCAAGTGTGGCCAGACTGTTTTTTCCCCGCCTGGAATCTGCTCACATGCCAGCTGGACTCAAGCTGCTGTTAAGGGGATGTCGAACTGTGGCACAAATCCAGAGCAGAGCTTTGCTTTGTTTTTTCACAATCCTGCTAATTTCAGCAGAATGGACACCTGCCCAAAGGTGTTGGAATATTTCTGTGTGCCCTCAGAAGCATTCTGATCTTTTTCTGTGTAACACATTTAAATCAATATTAACACTGTGGTACTTCGCTTGTTTTGCAAAAGACAAGACCACTTGGGATTGCACTGATTCCATTTAGATTCCTGTCTGCAGACTGATGTTTCTTGTCAAAAGTGTTAATGGACATTATTCTCAGTGTTATTCTGTTGCATCAGTTTGCTCTGAAGACTTTATGGGGTTCTCAGGAAGAGGCACAAAACAACTGGATTCAGAAAATGATAATACTTATCATTTTTGCTGATAAACTGATATGTGATACTGGCTAAGGCTAAGAGGATTAGAAAGTTCAGACACGGATTACAGAGTTTTGAAAAGCTGGAGCATCAGTAAATAGTTCTATAAAGATTGAAATTAAAGTTCTTGGGGGAAGTTTCTAAGCTAATTCACCCTAAGCTGCTTACAGCTAGTAACTTTTGTAGTGAGTTCTGTTGGATTAATAACACCTTTTACTTCCTTTTAGAATCTGTTAATATTCAATTCTCTTCTGGTTTACAATAACATTTTGCATTTTACTGCTCCTTTAGACTGAATGCACTTTTTGGGTATGGAAAGTCAGAAGGGAGGAAGGCGAACTTCAGTGAGATGAGCTGTTAGCCCTAGTAAGAGTCATGACACTTGAGCCAGCATGTAGCACATATAAAGCGTAACCACAGCTCAAAGCATTGCGACAGGAGCTGGTTTTAAGAGGCTTCTAGATATTGGAGCTGAAACAGGACAGTGGGAAACTCTAAAACTGAACTTCCAGTCTGGAAAAGAATATTTCTTTTCCTGCTGTCCCTTCTTTCTAAACTATAAGAGAGAAAAACTGATTCAGGCCTAAGAAGAACTGAGACACTACAGTTTTGAACTGACTTCAGGAGTTGTTCAGGTCATGCTGATTGGAAGGCAGAATGATTAGAGTTCAGAGTGAATCCCTCTTTTGTCATGCATAGTATAAGAAAGGCGTGGAAAAGAGTTTCTGATGATACAGAAATGATTCTCACAGTTTCATTGATGGTGAGAACTAACCTGAATTCATGGTTTTACTAGGAGGAAAATCTGCCAACTTCAAAACATTTGATGGATATATTACCGTATACAGCTCATGAAGAGAAAAAAAGCCTTATAAATATTTTCTGTTGATATTAATTCTTACAGTAAAATGTAGTTATCTAACATATTTACGAGAGAGATTAAATTAAGCAAGATAATGCAAGATTAAGCTATGAAAAATAGTCTGTGTTCTGCATAATGCTTTATGATTCATGTAGGGAACCTAGAAATATTGTTAATGTATAAATATCACCCAAAAGGCTTTCAGCCCTATATTTTTAAAATAAAGAATAGTTATAATTGAAATAGCCTTAGCCCTAGTTCTATAGGGTATGGCTGTTTAATATTTTTATGGTTGAAATGTTTAGTTCAGGACAAAGGTAAATGCTTGTATATATTTTTGCAGTCTGGGATTCCACTATTCCATTTTTCTTTCTTTAATTTAAATGGCATGTTTATATGTCTTTTCTGCTGTATTAGGATGGGAAAAAGGGGGCTGGATATCCCAAGCACCAGATATGATTTTAAAATATTGCAAATAAATAATTCATTGGGGGGGGGGGAATCTGTGAAACATTGGATTTGCCAAAGTAGAAGAAAATTAAAGCAACTTTACTGTGTTAAATTGGCAATATTTCTGAAGTCAGAGGTTAAGGTTACTTAACTTGGGCATTTTACTTTGTCAGCATTGTGAATGCTAACAAATCTGTTAATTTTTTATAGTCTGTCGTGTAGAAATAAAAAGGAATTGATATAAGCCACTGGTGCACTTTTCTGTTCTTTGTGGGTATCTGGTGAAAACAGCATGTGGATGAGCCCACAGCAGCTGGTATCCCAGATAACAGGTTATTACGAATTGGACTGAGAAGTAAGATTTTCAGCAGAGATCAATCAATTTGTCTCCCAGTACTTCAACTGATCGAGCAGTCTGAGCTGCATAAATTCATAGTATGTCACAAATGTATATTCATTAGCAACTGTCAATTGATCCTAATTTTAAAGTATTAAAATAACTTTTATTTAGAATTTTGCCTTATGAGAATGACAGGAGAAAATTAAATGCTGAGCCGCTGATCTAAGAATTAACAAAGCCTTATTGTTCTGGGTAGCTCAGGAAGTGTTAATATACTAATGAAATGCACAGTAAATGCGTCATGTCTTCATCTGACCTAGTATGGAAATTTTTTTCTTTTTAATCCAGTTGCTTGTGTTTAAAAAAAAAAAAAAAAGCTTTTTTATTATTCTGAGAAAAGTAAAAAAATGATTGTTTAAATTTTTTTATTTGCATTTTTATTACATACTGCACTGGATTTATAGTCTCAACTCTCTCTCTTATATTGGTATCTCCAGCCCCCTTTTTTATGGTGTCTTTTAATTTTCTTTAAGAATCACTGTTTGTGTATATGTGCTCTAGTGAACTCGTATATAAACTGGGATCAGCAGCACTGGATTGTAAAATACTGTACTGAAATTCCTTGTTGAAATTTCCTTGCATTGTAATTTCAAATACTCAGGTAACTGTAACAGTATCTCAGTAAGTCAAATACTTTTATAAAACTACTTAAAGAGCTGGTAGTCTTGTTGTTATTCCTTCTGGATTATGAAGCATCTGTGTTCAAACAAATTGTCAGTCTGCTCTTCGGGGGTGAGGGGTTAGGCTGGCTGAAGTTGTCCTTTGAGCACAGTTCTTGAGGAGTGTTTCCCGAGACCTCTTCTGCCATGGCTGATTGCATTGGAAGTTCACGAGGAGATTTCAGACACAGCTGCCTTTTTAACTGGTTAGAAACTGCAGGTAAAACAGTTCCGGCATTCTTAGTGCTCGTGGTCCTGGAAATGCTGCCCCAAGGAGACAGGCTGCTGGTCTCTTGGCGATGGTACTCGGATGGAGGTGGTCTGGAGAAAGGT